ACTACTACTACTACTACTACTACTACTACTACTACTCCGGCTACTACTACTACTATTACTACTACTACTACTACTACTACTACTACTACTACTGCGACTACTACTACTACTACTACTACTACTACTACTACTAGGACTGTGACTACTCTACTACTTCACTAGTGTTATCCTTTGACACTGCCCTGCAGGAGGCCAACGTGTTGCCATCTCTGCGGGCCGTGGTACGGTGTTTCGCTCACGCAGGCCAAAAGAGCCTCGAAAACGCAATGCGCAGCGTTCCTGCGATACAGGAGTTGATCGATATGCTGGTGACGAAGTATGCAGGCAAAAGCGACCGTGGATCCCTCGCCCGCGCCCTCGCCAACTCTGGAAAGCTCCGAGCCAAGCTGAAGGATGAGGTTAACAAGGACCTTTCCAAGATCGAGGAGCTCTGCGAGCAGCGGCTGGCTGATGGGGCATTTAGCTTTGCTGCGCACCGCTGGGACTCCATGCTAGAAGTCCTGCGGTTGACAACCCTGAGGATATCAGACNNACTTTCCTTCTTATGTCAAGTAGCACACTGCAAAGCCACGCCGAATGACAAAGACAACGCGTTGTGGGCACGACGTTCCTCGGTGGCATGTAGACATTCGCAGCTGCGCAGGAATCCTTAGGCATGCCAGAGCAGAGATGTCATCCTGGTCTGCTTGGCTCAGGCATGCTTCAGTTTTTCACCTTGGAGAACATTGTCACCATGGCCCTCGTCACCGAGTTCATGGAGACTTGCAGGGGGTATGTTCACACCATGGACAACGCTGGAGGAGCCGTGAAAGCGAGAATCNNACCGCCCTCGCTCCACAGCTGCACGACTGTGCCATCATTCAGCGGCTGCAAGGTCCTTGCGAAACAGGCTGGACCAGCTCTTCGCCTACGAGCTTGCCGGCCAGAAGCATCTCCCTTTGGTCCTCGACTCTCGTTTCCGTGCAGGGTATCTTCAGATCGCCACGGCTTCTCTGGATTTAGGTGGGGGGAGGGACAATGCTCAGGTGATTAACTCATGTCACTTTACACTCGTTCGAAGCCACGCCCTCGCCCTCGCAGGAAAGCGCTCTTTCTCCGTGGTGGATGGTGGCAAGTTGCTCTACCGACTTGAAGGCCGGCTGTTGATCACATGTGTGCTGCAGGTTTGCTACACAAGCACTTGTAGGCAAGCAACGTGCAGCACTGGATGACAGGCCACACCAACATGGAGGACCTGACTGCCAAGTGTCTGGGGCCCATCTGGAACGCCCGGGACCTCTTCTTGCAGGGCGTCATGACAGAGAACGAAATCGCCATCGGCAGTGCTTTCAGTGCCTTCGACATTTCCTTGTGGCAGGACGAGAAGCGCGATGATGCATCCCTGCCCCTTGGCGGCATTGATCTTTGCCATTCCACTGCGCAGTGCTGCCAACATTGTGTCCTGCCTCAGGCCAGCCGTCCTGGAGCCGTTGGCCATCGCCCTCGACTTGCAGGCCGGCCGTCTGTCCTTGGAACATGTTTCATGGCAGGAACCTAGATTGACTTGAGAATGTGACAAGGCAAGTGTGCTGGCTTCGGAGATGGTCCTCGCCCGTCCTACCATCTTGGTTTTGATCGCGTGTGGGCCCGACTGTTACACCAACACAGAACAGCAGACTAGCCTTCCATCTAAGTCTATTAAATGGTCCGGGCTAAGGCAAGGGAAGACAGATCCGGAGATCTACTGGCGCGACTGCATGCGGCACTGGACAGCCAAGAAGCTGCCGCTGCTTGCAAAAGCCGTGTCCGGACTTGCAAACCCAGGAAGTGTGCAGTAGTTATTCTTCACTTAATTAATTGTTAAGCGGGTCGATGTTCCCTGGTGCTGTCATTCGCTGCCTTTCTTCTTGAGGTCACGTTCATGCTCAGCGTTTGGGAATCCACGTGTGAAATCGAGCAGACGTTCACCATTAAAAAGATGCTGAACACTCGACAGAAGTCCTCGACGAAAACGTCCTCGCTGAGATCATTGATCAAGGTCTTGAGCGACGGTCCGCCGGCTGAGTCTGACACCCTCGCCCCCATGAAGCACGTGAACGGCCAGTGCGTGTACGAGGTGACCCCGCTGATTCGCAAAGTTCAGGCTGCATATAGAGCAACTTTTGGTTCACGCAAGCCCGTGAAGGCAGGACTGCCGCGACGAGAAGTCTGCTCTCGGCTGCGAAAGAGAGGAAAAGCGGCATTTCTGAGACGAAGGCAATCAGAGCTGTGTTCGCTGTCGAAGGCCTCGTCCTCGGCCTCCTGTCAAGATGCAAGACTCGACGAGCTCTCGACCAAGACGACCTCCATTGCCAAACATGGGGAGAAGGGCAAGGCGTATACAAGCTTGTTGGCGACCTTGAATACCAACGGTGAGAAGAAGAGGAAGCTCATCGAGGCATTGGCTCAGGAAAGTGACCCAGAGGCTGCTCGAAAGCTCGAAGAAGCCAAGAAGCAGGAGGTGCGAGATGCACAGGTCATGATGCGACATGACTTGCAGCAAGTCGCGGACCACCGCCTCTACTTGCAAACGGAGCTGGTGGCCATCGTCCTCATTGGCTCGCCCTCGTACGCGCAAGACAAGATCCTGGCCAGAATGGGGGCAAAGTTGTACAAGTTTGAGGCAACCAAAAACCTTGTCGATCCTGTGGTCCGAAGATTTCGACACATAATCTGGTGTCCGACCTCCACGGAGGCGGAGAGCGGCTTGACCACCGCCAAGGAGATCGGTGGCATCAACTCAGCCCACATATTGCTCAGCAGACTTTTGGGTGGGTTTCTTGGAGGGCCAGAATGGCTAGCAGCATGTTGTGACGAGGACAAGATTTTGATGCCCGTCCTCAAGCTCGACCGCGCCCTCCACAGACCTGTGGAGCTGCTGGTGCATCCGAATGTCACTTTCAAAGCTGAGCTGGACATGACCCTGGACGTGACAAAGAGAATCGACAAGGTGTGCTGGACTCTGCGCGAGAAGAGGGAAGACATGCGCGGCACCTAGTTCCCGCTACGTGTCGTCGTGCTGCGTGACTGAAGCAGCATGCTTGCACGTATTGCCGACCCAGGAAAAGGAAGCTTGCGTGGATGGTTGTCCCGGACGATTTCAAGCGGAAGCAGACGAAGAAATCCAAGCGCAAGGGCGTTTATGTGACCCAGTCTAACTTTGTGGAACACATTTCCAGGCCAGGACTTTTTGGGTGCTTTCTGGCTTGCAGTTCTTTCCTTGCCATTTGGACGTGTCTCTGGCAGGTGNNCGCCCTCTGATACTGCCGCCGGCGTCCTCGGCACCCTGCGTTGTGTGTGCATTGCGCCAGCCAGGCATTTTGTCTGAAACCCTGGGCGTATCTTTAAAATTGGCATGACGTGTCTATTGCTATGTTTTGATGAAAGTACATACTAATTACTTTGTCCCAGGGCACAGGCGATCTGGCAAAGCTGATGCTTGAGGCAGGCAACAGACGTGTCAAGAGACAAAGGCAGATCAGCATCGTCTTGTTTTGGCACCTGCAGAAGTCATCAGCGTTGTCTTGTTTTGGCACCTGCAGAAGTCATTGCTGACGAGCATGCTGTGACTTCAGCTTCGAACGATCGATCTGTTGTAGTCGACGCATGCAACCCACTCATCTGTGCATTTTTGGATTTCAAGCTTATATATTATTAATTCTGCGATCTGTCCTACCAGCAACTTCGGTCACGGTTGGGGTGACACATCACTAGTGGCGTTTTGCAATGGAGCTGCGAGCGGCCTCGACACAAAGGCAGGGAACCCGGGGGAGAGCAGTCGACGGTTATCAGGGGTCAAGCCAGGAACAGACCGGCTTCAGTCCTGATGTTATCCAACCTACGTCTT